AGTGTGCGGCTGCGGTTTGGCATCCGCGGAGCGACTTCGTGGCACCTCAGGCGGGCGCTTTCGTAAGGACGGGGCGTGTGTGAACGGGCTGTGACACCCGGCTTGGGGTGGGGGAAAAGGTGACAGCCCTGGCCTGCGCTGAAGTGTCGGCGTCTGTGCATTTGGCGCCTTTTTTTTTTAAATGTTGCTGTTTTATGATGTCCGATGTCTTTACGTTTTGGAGACTGGCTTTGCAGAGCTGCCGGTGCTCTGTTTAGACAGACCTGGTGGAGCAGGTGCTGTCTGTGGTGGTGTTTCCTCTCCCTGAGCAGAGCAGTGCCCGGGCAGGGTCAGCTGGAGGGGTTGCTCATGTCTGTGTCCAGTCAGGCTTTGAAAGCCTCTGAGGACGGAGACTGCACAACCTGTCTGAGCAACCTTTTCCAGTGTCCCATAGCCCTCAGATTTTTTTCTGATGTTCGGATGGAATTTCCAGTATTTCAGCTTGTGCCTTTTGCCCTTGGGACCACTGAGAAGAAAAGGGTGCTTCCTTCTTTACATTCTTAAGTCAGAAATTTTTATGCATTGGTCAGAGCTGCCTCCTCTCTCTGAAAAACTGGCCCAGCATCCTCAGTCTCTCCTCATGCGAGAGATGCTTCAGTACCTCCATCATCTTTGTGGCCCTATACTGGACTTACTCTGTGTATTTCTTGTCCTGGAGAGCCAAAACTGAACTCACACTCCAGGTGTGGCAGAGTAGAGTGGAAGTTTCACCTCCCTCGGCCTGCTGACAATGCTTTTCATGTTGCTGTCTAGAAGCTCATCTGTGTTTTCTTTTTAACTCAGGAACAGAAGAGCGATGGCTTTGAGAATGGTCGATGTGCCTTGTCCGTCTGAGGTGACCGGCTGATGTTTGAACACCAGCTGGTCTTTCTCTGCTGGCCGTGTCCCAAAATGGGGAGGTAAGAATCCCAAGAGAGCTGTCAAATTAAATTGTTATGTCTTTTGAGTGAAGGACAGGGGACCTCATCATGAATTCATGGCTAGTCATGAATTTAAAGGTAGGAATAGTTTCCAGGAACGAAGCAAAGCTAGAGCAGAGTGAAGAGTTTTACGAAGAACCTGTTTGCACTTAGCTTGTTTCAGAACACACTGTGCTGCTTTTTGGTAATAAGGTCCCATTTTTAAGGCAGATTATCCTCTTTGAATTTCAGGATCAGCATCTCATGTTTGCTTCCTGCTTCTTGGCACTTCAGCATCTCTCCAGTGGGATGTCCGCGTATTTTCAACACCACTTTGCGCCAGATCGTTGTGATAGGAGTACTTGCTGCTGCTGTCTCTTTGCTTTACTACTCTCTGGTAGTCATCCGCAATAAGTATGGGCGTGCGTACAGGGACAAAAGATTCCACAGGTGAGAAATCAAGAGGATTTTTTGGGAGGATAGGCGTGAAATGTAGTTTATAGTGAAAGAATAATGAAACTGTGTGATTCCTACAGTGAAAACTGCTGTCCTGTCTTGAGTCTGATGTTGAGAAAAGCTTCCATAGAGAACTCAGTTGCCGGGTAGTAATAATGCCTGGTTTTCTTCTAGATATCTTGCCCGAGTAACTGACACCGAAGCTACAGACACCAACAACCCCAATCTGAACTACGGAATCGTTGTGGACTGCGGCAGCAGCGGCTCGAGGATTTTTGTGTATTGTTGGCCAAGGCACAATGGTAACCCGCATGATCTGTTGGACATCAAACAGATGAGGGACAGAAACAGAAAGCCAGTGGTTATGAAAATTAAACCAGGTACTGGAAAGAAATTAATTCGAGATGCAATTTTCGAGATAGTTGCCTGTCCTAACTCTGCTTTTTTCAAGCCCTGTATTTAAAGTGTCTGGGTAGAGGACACTTGCGAGTTGTCAGCATGGCGCTCTCCTCCAGATTGGTTTGGGTTTGGTTTGCAGATATCTTTGTTCAGCTTTAAGGCTTGAAACATGGCTGTGATGGGCAGGAGGAAGAGGTTTCTCTGTAGACAAGACAGTTGCTGGTTCAATTGTCAGTTGACTTAGTTCTGTTTATTTAGGGCATCAATAATTGGCTTTCTGTAAAGCTATTTGAACCCACTGTATAATAATATACCTAATACGGTGTTACTGTTTAGAGGATGATTAAGTGTTAGCTTCATTCCTGTTTTCTTATTTTTATAGCTGATTTCCTGGGTTTGGGTTTGGGTCATTCGTTTCTCCTCTGTGTGCTGGGTATTTCCTGGAAAGTCTCGATAACCACAGCTTGAGTTGCTTCACTTTCGTATTTCTCTGTCTCATTAGGCATTTCGGAGTTTGCCAGCTCTCCTGAAAAGGTCAGTGATTATATTTCTCCACTTCTGAGCTTTGCTGCCGAACACGTACCACGTGCGAAACACAAAGAGACTCCTCTCTATATTCTGTGTACTGCAGGGATGAGGATTCTGCCAGAAAGGTTATTGGCTGTCTTATTTTTAGCAGTTTAGCAGAGCGATCCTGGTGTGTCTTGACTATTTTTAACTGCTCAAAATGTAATTTTGCAGCCAGCAGAAGGCAATACTTGAAGATCTGCTCACTGACATTCCTGTGCATTTTGATTTTCTGTTTTCGGACTCTCACGCAGAGGTTATTTCAGGGAAACAGGAAGGTAGGTTAACACTGGAAAAAATATCTTTGAATTGTTTGTTACTCCCATGGTACAACTTGGATCCCTCTTTTTTTCTTCCATTTTCAAATTCTGGTTTGGTTGAGAGACCTTATTCCTCAGTAGCAACATATGGAGTGTGGAGATGATCATCTGCTGTGATCTTCTAACTTGTCTAAATGTTTTCTAATGAGCAGTGAAAATAACTTCCCTGTGTTTAGCAGGAATTTTAGTCCCTTTTCTCTGGCTTTGGGGAGGGAGGCGTGAGCATAAGGCACAACATTCTTGATGGAAGAAACTTTGCAGAGAATAATGGTTTCTAAAGGAGCGATGTTCTGATGTGATCAGCTCACTGGAGGCCAAAAATCACTTTAAAAGCCAATGTGCTTACTTTTCCTTAAATTTACACATCAGGTTGTCTTTAATACATTGAAATAGGATTTTTATCGTAGCCTTGACTTGGGAGAGAAGGACTTGAATAACTTGTCAGGATTGTGTAACTTCTAAGTATTTTATGTAATAAAATCTGAGCAGTGATAGATCTTAATTCATATGCAAAAAAATCCCTCCTTGTTTTTAAGATGATATGTACCAGATATTCCTGAAATCTCTAAATGTGCTTTCTCCTGTACGTAGGAGTGTATGCGTGGATCGGCATCAACTTTGTTCTTGGAAGATTTGAACATACAGACGATGGTAAGTGTCTTAATTGTGAACTGGATTTTAGGAAGGATTTCAAGTACGCTCCGGTGCTTTCGCTGTTGGCTCTGTGTTTTTAGACAGATGTTAGTGAATAGTGAGTGTGCAGATGCTGATGCTGGTTTAATTCACATGTGAAATTCCGATTATCTGCTTTGCTACAGAAAAGAAGTTAACTAGAAGTGTAGTGCTCCTTGAGGCCCACTCTGGTTGTGTTTTGTGATGCCTTTCCATTGTTCTATGCAGAGGATGAGGCCATTGTGGAGGTGCACGTCCCTGGCAGTGAAAACAAAGAGGCCATCTTCCGTAAGAGGACAGTGGGTATTCTTGACATGGGCGGAGTGTCGACTCAGATAGCGTACGAAGTCCCTAAAACTGTAAGCTTTGCCTCTTCGCAGCAGGTTATTATCTGTGCAACTTTCTTCTTTTCCTTTTGGTTTATTTTCATGCATATTTGTTGGTTTTGGGTTTTGTTCCGAGTCCTTCATTACATCCCATTTCAAAACCAAGGCAAGAGAACATGGCAAATTCAAGTCCTTCCTCAGCTAAGCAATTCATTTGTGTTTTGTTCATTTATTTTGATTGATATAATTTGCCACTAATTTTTAAGTTTAAGTGGGTATGCATTCTTTGTGTGTGCGTGTATGCATGTACAGTTCAAAATTTGTTGTACTTGAGGCTGTTCTGGAATTTAGAAAGAAAAAGTTGTGTGGTTCTTATAGAAGTTCATGTGTAAGATAGGACTTTTTCCTTGGGTCGGTAGAAACTGAATTAACAGAATATGGGGGTAACTGTACAGTTTGTTTGAATATCACCTACGTCCTCAGCACAGCTCATCTGTTGTAGGAAGCAAATTTCTTTGTTACAAGTCCTAAACGGAACATACTCTAACTCCAATCCACTGTGTTTTAGTTTTGTTACCTTCCAATAACTTCATTGATTAAGCATCTAAAGAAAGAGTAGCATAAAAGCCCCATGGTTTGACTCTCAGTGTGTTGTTATGACATACTTTTTAAAAATTCTCCTGTGACATGATGGTATTTCATTATTACAGGTTTTAATAACTACACTGCCTTTCAGACAGATGGTGTAACAAATAATTTGGGCTGTAGATTCAGAACAGATTGCCCCAGTCAAATACGAATTGGAAATAGGAAGAGCTGCAGACAGCTGATGGTGACTGTTGTATGGCTCTAGCTGAACATAAGCTGATATAAAATAGGTGGTGTGGTCCTGGAAGCTGTCCAGGATCCCAGACAGAGTCAGTGGAGTCAAACAACTGTGATGCTTACAGTGCTAGTGTTGTTTTTCATTTACAGCATCAGCTGGAAGCCACGCAGTGTTATGCTGCATTTTTCAGCACGTTCTATGTGAAGTGCTTCTGCTGCACGTCCCTTACACATCTGAAAAGCTATTGCAAATGGTGTGTGAGGAGAGCTGAGTGACTGACAGGTCTGAAAAGCTTGAGATCTCCACATTGGAAAATGAAGAACAGCTCAAATCTACCTAGCCTAGCATCAGTAGTGTGGGGACTCTGTCAAAAACTGTAGCATTGAGATTAATAGCCACAGCACACAGCTTTTCACAGGAAAAGATACCTCAGTGTCCATAGTAGCAGTTCCTGGCCTTTACAGCTCCTTCAGTGTCAGCAGTCATAGTGCAGTTCTCTGCAGTCACCCTCCCTATCAAGTAGAAGGTGATGTGGACCCATGAAAAGCAAATTAGATGAGTAAGGAGTGAAGTTAAAGATGTCAAGGGCATCCTGTTGTCCCAAGAGCTCATCTCTAGGTTCTGGTTCGTGTTGTTTACACCTAATCTTGGTGCTTGTGTTCCTACAGGAGGAAGTAGCCAAGAACTTACTCGCAGAATTCAACTTGGGCTGTGATGCTCACCAAACAGAGCACGTGTACAGAGTCTACGTTGCAACGTTCCTTGGCTTTGGGGGAAACGCAGCCCGCCAGAGATACGAGGACAGTCTGTTTACCAGTACAGTGCTTAAAAACAGGTAACTGGCTGCAGTTGCTTGGGGATATGGGTTCTGTGCATCACTAGACTCAGTGACCCCTTAACTTGACTATATTTAGTAAAGTATCTTGATGTAGAAGTTAATTTCTACAGCGTGCCACATGAAATACTGAAGTTTTTTAAATGAGGATGCTTTGTTTTGATGCTGTTTTGTCTCAAAACTTGGTGTTTCTGACGTGCAGTTGTTACTGTGCTTGCTCTTTTATACAGACTGCTGGGCAAACAGACTGGCCTGACTTCTGATTCACCCTACCTAGATCCTTGCCTGCCCCTGGATGCTCAGGATGAGATCCAGCAGAACGGACAGACCATGTATTTGCGGGGAACGGGAGATTTTAATCTGTGTCGTGAAATTATTCAACCATTCATGAATAAGACAAACGAAACGCAGACATCTCTCAATGGTGTCTACCAGCCTGCTGTGCACTTTCAGAACAGTGAATTTTATGGCTTCTCAGAGTTCTACTACTGCACCGAGGACGTGTTACGCATGGGAGGAGATTACAATGCTGCTAAATTTACTAAAGCTGCAAAGGTAAAGTGTTCTTGAGATAAACCTCTTCTAATTCAAACCAGCTGCTCTCTAGAAGCATTTTCTTCTGAGAGTCTTGCAACAAAACTCTTCCTTTAAAGATCCAGAATCCTTTTATTCTGCAATGACCTGCACAGGGCATCTCTTTTTCTGACTGGATTTTCTTTTAGAATACTTGTTTTAAGGCACAAGAGTAAAATTGGCTCTAGAGAGCACAGGACTCGTGGTTCTGGCAGAACTATTGGTCATGGGGAAATCTATGTTGCTTCCACCCCTTGCTTCTTTTTACAGATGTCTAAGTTGTTAGAAAAATAATTCCTTTTCATCTTGTTTTATACATTTTGTACCAGTTTCTGAGGTGTTACCCCTAACAGGGGTCAGTCTGTGTGGGACAGTTTAAAGCAAGGCTACAACATAAATTAGATGAATATGACCTGCTTTTGTCAGTGCCCTTAAAAATGGCTTGCCTGTTTTTCATCTACAAGTCCATGAGAAACGAATTTAAGTGCTACTGAATATTAATTTAACCACAAACGCCAAGCGTGGGTCAAAATGTTACAGAAAATACCGCGTAATTTCTGATCTGACAGTAGCAGTGCTAGGGAAACCATTATTTTTGAGTTTCCTAGCTTTGAATATTTACAGAGCATCTCTTTTTTTTCTCTTTTCTTTCTTTTCTTGAAGGATTATTGTGCCACTAAGTGGTCTGTCCTACGAGAACGTTTTGACCGTGGTCTTTATGCATCACACGCTGATCTCCACAGATTGAAGTAAGTGTTTGTGTTTGTACAGCAAATTGGTTCATGCAGAGTTGCCAGGGAGAGGTCATGTCCAAATGATCCATTTAAGGCAATCATTGAAAGTGTGAATATAACCTTAAATATTGCATCAGCCATGAAAAAGTACTGACAATTATGTGTCTAAATGTGCCCTCTGGGCCTCGGTAACTGCTGACCTGACTTTATGCCACTCTTTCTATAGGTACCAGTGTTTTAAGTCTGCCTGGATGTATGAAGTATTTCACAGTGGCTTCTCTTTTCCTGTGAGTTACAGCAATTTGAAAACAGCTCTGCAGGTTTACGATAAAGAGGTGCAATGGACTTTGGGAGCCATTCTTTACCGCACACGGTTTTTACCTTTAAGGTACCAGTTGTTTCCTCAAATGCCTGGAAATAGCATGGGGTGGAAGGTATGGGGCTTTTGTGAGGGGAAGAAGTGTGGGGATAGCAAAGCAGGTGACAGATAAGGGTAGACGAGATGTTTCTAGTGCATTATGTGTAACCTCAGTGCATATTTCAGGTAGCTCAATTAATGATTTATAAACACTGTCCTGTTAAAACGGGCTCTGTTTCCTTTGGTAAGAGAGTTTGGAGGCAAAGCTTGGTTGGCACCTTATGTCTGTTATCCCTTTTGATTCTTTTCAGAGACATCCAGCAAGAAAACTTCCGTGGAAGTCACTCCCACTGGAGGAGCTTCTCCTTCGTTTACAATCACTACTTGTTTTTTGTCTGTTTTCTGATCGTGCTGCTCTCCATCCTGCTTTACCTGCTCAGGCTCAGGCGGATCCACAGGCGAATGCTGCGTAACGGCTCATCCACTTCCCTATGGATCGAGGAAGGCCTCCCACCACAGAAGATCCCAGGACCCTTATGAGATGCTGTGATGGAGAGCTTTTATTGGACTTGCTACACAAAAAGCCATTTTTGCCTCAGGGTTCCTCCTTCTTGTCCCTTTCAATCATTGAAGAAGCAGATTGCCTAGAGTGTGTCACACTGCTGGGCTTTGGAAACATAGGAAAATGGGGTCAACTTGGCTTAGTCTCATTAGACAATATCTGCCAAAAATTATTATTATTTTTTTTTAATATTGCACTTTTGTGTGTAATGGGACGAGCAAAGACTCATCAGTAAATGAGTAGCAGCAGCTTAAGCTATGTATGGTAAGAGAATGAGTGTGAGTTCTCATCCTTTGGGTGAGACTGTGAAATGCTGTCAGCTAGGATGAATGAGGCCTGTTTAGTTTATTTTCTTTTCCAGATTCCAGGGTTGGTATCACTTGACTTCTCAATTCTGAGTCTCCTCAGTCAAAGAAAAGGAAGTGCAGGGTTTTCAAAAGCAGTAAGAAACCAACCTTTTTAGGACCTATCAGCCTATCTGATTTTATATTCTGGAATAAGTACTGTGATGGAGAAGGAAAATCTCTTGCACCCAATGCTGTGCTTCCACAAATAAATCAGTTCTGTTTATTTGTGACAGTTTCCCCTTTTGTCTTGGAATCTATATCCTCACAGTGGCAAAAGCCACTACTTTTTAATCCTTTATTTCTGTTTCATGATCATTCAGAGATCTCCCTGAAACTCCAGTAAGGTGAAGAGAACTGGAATATGCTTAGGCTTTTGTTTCTGCTAGAGTAGACATGCACAGTGTCTCTCTTGTTGTTTTCGAGTACTCTGTTAATTTATATTTTATTTAAAACTGTTAATTTTACTTGAAAGTAAATTTGTCCATGATTAAAAGTGGGATTTATATGAACTTTTGGTGTATGGATATTTCATTGCACGGTATCGTTTCTGTTCTTACTGTTCATATCCAACTGGCAAAACTTTCTTCTCTTCTGGTAGGTGTGAATATGCTGGAAAACTGGATTCTGCTTTCAGTATTGGAGACCTAGACATTGTTGACACCATTTTTGTCATTCTTAAGGTGCAGTTTATTCATCTCAACCTCCAGATACTTGGAATTGTATATGCTCAAATTTGAAAGAGCAACAGAATCTTTAACTGAACATTCAGAAATACCAAACAGCATCTCCCTTTTAAAAGTGGATTTTTTTCTGCGCCTGACAACTCTGAGCACTTCACCAGCTGAGAGTCTGGTTTGCATTTTGCTATTTTTCGAGCACCATCTGAGTGAACTCTTGGATCACGCACCTCTCACTTGGGATGTCTGAAACCGCGGTACAAACTTGTTGCCCTCATGGGCTGATAAGAATTATCAGAAACCTGCCGCTGCCAATTGTCACAGAGCCTGTGCTTCCTGTTTCTGAGATGCCTAAAAACCGAGTGCAGAGCCTCTAATTGCATGCTCAGATAAAGCAGCAGACGAGGACAGTGGGGAGGTGGAGAGGAAGTATCGATGTATGACTTAGCAAAATCCAGGCAGGTGCCAAGCATCTCTTAGCAGAAGATAGAGTGTCCAAACTGCAGCAAGCAAAAACCCACCCACCCAACCCAAAAAAGGCCAATAAAAATGTCCAAAAATCATTAAAATGTGAAAAGAACGAAGGAAGAATGTTTCAGATCTAAAATAGTTTCCTTTACGTGCTGCAGCGTTTTCTTTATAGCGATGTTCTTAACACTTAATGCCAGAAAAGAGAAAAAAGGAGAGAAAACTCTTTTTGTATAACTTTAAAATCTATTTTTTTAATAGAATCAGAAGCTAATTTCTATTAAATAATGGGCAGTAGTGGAAAAAAACCAACCTATTCCAGCTTTAACTACGGTGGTATAAACATTTTTTAAAGGAAAACCAATTGTCTAAAGTTTTGTGCTATGTCCTGGCTGAACCAAGTGCAGGATTTGGACGTTGCTTTCTTATCTCGTAGGATGGACAAGCTGTGGATGTGCACAGAGGAGTACGTGGTTTATGGCCCCGACAGCTTAAGGTGGTTTTGGTAGAACCAGCTGCAGCTTGTGAGCTTAGGGACAGGTACAGCACTGGATAACAGAGACAGATGGGTCTTGTGCCTGCATAAAGCATCGTGTGCCTGCTGGAGGGTTTCCACGCTGCTTTTTGAAAGCACCACGCTGGGGAGTGAAGATAAGAAGCAGAAGTGTTTGGAATGTGCAGAAAGATAACTGGTGAATGGTGGTGAGAAAGTGGTCAGGAAAATGGGGCGTGAACGGGCAGGGAGCTTTGGATCAGTGCCTGCGGTGTACAGTGTCTCTGTTTTCCTTGGACTTTTTTCTCCTGCAGGATCCTAGCACTATTGTCCTGCTTTTGCCAGTGATTTAGGTCAGGAATAAAGATGACCCAATACACAATCTCCTCCTGTAATGGTAAAATAAGATACTGCCAGCAGAGCTTGGCTGTGGGAGCAGCCACTGTTCATTGCAAATCTAGGACATGCGTGAGAAACAGATTCAAACAACTGTAAGGCCTAGAAACTTAAAGAAGCTTTCAAGATAGTGCACAGAGCCCTGTTTTATATCTGTATTTGTCTCCCTCATTCAGATATCAGGTGGTAAACTGCTGGATAAGGTGAGCAGGTATCAAGGTGCTTCAGTGTGAGTGGTGGCAAACACTGTCATCAACACTAAAACATGACCAATGCATTGCACACCTTGGTAGGAGCCCACTGAGCTTCAGGGAGTCCTGTACACTGCAAAAGCAGCACTGAGACCGTATTTACTTCCAGCAAGCTGGGAGTTAAGCCCCTTGATCTCACCACCCGGGTATAGGAGGCAGCTGAATTAATTAATTAAGTGTGCTAAAGGTGCACAGGAGAAAGCCATCACACTCATTAGAGCTTGTAAGGGCTGGGAGAGCAGAGGGCTGAGGAGGAACAGAGGGTGCTCGGTGCTCTGCTGTTGCTTCTTGGCAATGTTTTTCTGCTTTTCTGAGGTATTCTGGCTCTAAAATGAAGGGGTTTTGGTCCTGTTGGAGGAGGGGTGCGATTGTGTTTTTAACTGTTGTGGAATGGGGGGAAGGAGCAGTAAAAGTGTGGTTGGATGCTGTGGAGGGGAGCGAGGTGTGGTTTGCAGTGAGGAACTGCAGTGGGAAACCAAGCCTGAAGCTGACTGAAGGGTTTGGATTGATTTTGGATCCTGGGGTGGGTTGCTGTTGGTTGGAGTGTGGTGAGAGGGATTTCAGCAGGTTCTTATGCTGGGGATCTGAAAAGGTTGATTGTCTGTGGTCTGCACCTTTGGAAAGAGAGCAGCCATGACTGGGAACCTCTGGCTTCTGCTTCTTTCAGCAGGTGGTTTTACTGCTGTAACTGGGATGTGCTTGGGTTTTGGGTATGGAAGAGAGCAGGGTTTTGTCCTGGGAATGTGTGTGTTAAAGGAAAGAACATTAAAAGCCAGTTTTCAGTACCAGCCTGACCATTAGGGTAGTGTAGGGCCACAAAATCTGAGGTCAACGGGATGCCCTATGGGGTAGAATTGGGACTGGGGAACGCTCCTGCGTAACGCAGCGCAAGATTTTGGCACAGGGACTGCATGAGGCCCTTCCTGCTCTGTGTGAATTCCATGCACGTTAGCATTTGCTGTGTTGAGGCTGACAGATGTACGAGTGCCTTTAATTGCTTTAAGAGCCTAAAGCCCACAAGGCGTGGGGAGGAGGCACAGATTTTCCAAAGCCAAACCTGAACGCCTGGATTCATACGACTGCTGTACTTTCTGGTGCTCGAGCTGTCCTGTGACAAGTGCTTGCAAATTCAGCTCTTGGCTTCTTTAAAACCTGGCTGTGGAGTCCCAATGATTAGAATTAGAGTGTGTATGTGTGGTGGGTTTGGTTTTGTTTCTTCATTAGGGGTTTGCAGGGACTCTGGAAGAGGAGGAAGAAGTTTGTGACATCAGCTGAGGAGAAGACTAAAACCATATTATTCTTGCAGCGTTTTTGTGGCTCCAGATGAAGAGGGACAAAAAAAGGAAGCCTTTCCATCCCACCCCTGGACAAACCTGCTTCAAAGAGACCACAGTAAGCAACAACACCAAAGGAAACATGATTCCTTTAAGAGACTTAGCAGCGCCTGTTTTCACTCAGTGCCCGCTCCTGGTTTCGGATTCCCAAGTCACAATGGTAATGTTTACCTGTTTGTGTCTGTTTCTGCATTAACATGCTTGGTTTTCTTTCTTCTGTTTCTCCTATTCACCTTGTCCTTTCTCCGGGTCCATTAAGGACAGGTAAGGCACGCAGAAAAGCACAGAGGGGAGGCAAGGGCGCTGCTCTTTGACCCATCCCACTGACCTGGAACGGACAGGCGAATGATGCGAAGCTTTTGGCTTCATGGCCTCTTAAACGTATCACTCTTCTCTTTGTTGCTGTGTTTTTGTGTGGGGAGAATGTCCAAATAAGGCCAAACGTGGCCCCTAATGGAAGAAGCGCTTGGGAGACAAAAGCACACCCATGAGAAAGGCAGGGTGTGATGGAGAGGATGGCGAAGGGATGAAGCTCACGGCTCTGCAGCCCTGCAGCTCATGGAAACAAAAGGGTTTTCTGCCTCTGCAGCACGTACGGATGGGGACAGTCAATAGCAGTAACTTGATGGCATGCCTGATGGGGGCACCTTGTCCTTGCTTTTGTCCCATTGTTCCTGCCATTGTTGCTACTAAATAACGCATGAAGCTCATTGAAAGCCGAAATGAGCCTCGTGAGGACTCGCTGTGTCCCTGTCCCTGGCCACCAGCCTCTGTGTGTGCAGTGTGCAGGGGACCTGGTCCTCACGGGTGTTTTTCAGGTCACCCTCCCTTTGTTTAGGGATGGGGAAGATGCCAATGACTTTCTCTCCTGTTTGAAGGTCTTTGGATTGGTAGAAAGCAGTGCTGGGAAGTTGCTTGGGACTGGGTTAGTGGAGTCTTCCTGGAGGATGAGTGGTTTGTGTTGCTTGAGATACTTTGTAGAGCCTTGACCTTCACAAGGGAACGCTCAGTGCGCTGGTACCAGGCAACATGCAAAGGCATTGAAGACGTGGATGTGATGTCCGTGTTTTCCTGAACTCCAAATGCTTTCCGGGGTCCTGGAAGGTACTAACTCCACCTCTTATCCTACAGATAATCTGCAGAGCAGGGCAGGATTTGAATGCACATATTGCAGATGTTTTCTATTCCTAGGTCCCACATGTG